GATGTGGGGTCCTTACCCCCCTCCCCCCCCCCCCCCCCCTTTTTTTTGGGGGGGGGGCAGGGAACGAGACAGTTGAAAAAAAAATTTCCTTTCACTTTGTTTCTTTAGGATAGCTTACCCCCAATATTTTTATTCTCTAGTCACTCAAGAACTGTATTCTTTATTCTACAGATTCCTCCTCTCCCCAGTTCTCCTTTAATTTAAAAGGTTTTCAATGAACTATTCAGTTTTAAGGAAAGAAAATATACCCAGTGGTGTGTTTTAAAATACGACTCTCAGTAAAAATTACTTACTGAAAAGCCAATGAATTAATCAAGGCCGCTTGCCTTTCTAAATATTGAGGCAATTTTATAAGTAATATTTTAAAAAGCCCTGAATAATGATATTATACGCATGAGTCTTTGTGGCCTTTTTACCCCCAGATGAATTCTTAGGAGTCTCAGCGCACAAGACTGCACCCACATTCAGGGCAGGTTTATTAAAACAGGAAAAACCCTTGTAAGTACTTTTACGACCCTTTGTGTAAATAACGTTTACATAATTTAAACAGTTTGCTTAGCTTTGCTGCCCCATCTGCCCAAGGCCCCCAAGTCCCTCTTCTCTCAGAAAGGATGCAAGGAAAGCCATAAGGTCTCGCAGAGCTGCAGAGTTAATGGCATGTATCATTTACATTGAGGGCATGGCATGTTTGCAAACTGAGCTTACCATTGAGTGATGAAGTGTACAAATGGCTCAGAGAACTCCCCGGCTGGAAGGACGGGCGATTCCTGGGATTGGATTGAAACAAGAAACAGAGTCAGAAGGAGAGAAGATAATTTTTTTTAGAAGGAGAGAAAAAAAACAGCGACAACAAAACAAAACAAAAAAAAAAAGGAAAAAACCCAAGGAAGCGACAAAACCCCCTTTTCACACAGAGAGTTTGAGGGAGAAAGGTACAAATTCTTCTGAGAATGTGTTATAAAACACTGAATTTCAACTAATGAGTATTACACAATGGGTAAAAACATGTGGAAAGACACTGAGGGGAGGTGAAAAAAGGACAATGATAGCCACAGGGTAAAAAGGAAGGTAGGGAAAGTGTAAATGAGAAATTAATGATTATTTAAGTAACACACAAATGGTCTTGTAATTAACAAAGAGCTGTGAAATTATTCTTGTGTTGACCTTTGTTTCTTTCACTGCATTTGCTATTTATTTACACTCATGTTTGTTTACACTTATTCATTTTAGAGGCTGTCCTCATGCTGTCTGTTCTAGATTGTAAAGGCGAAAGAATTTTTAAGAGGAAAAAATGTAGGATTTACCAGGCCAGTGAGAATAACCACCCAGTATTTATGAAAGAAAAAGAAATAAATAAAAAATTAAGAGCACAAGAAAAAAACCCTACAAACAGGGAACAAACAACATCACCATTTGCAAAGAAGGGCTTTACGAATTTAGGAGTTTTTCCAAGAATGACAGAGAGCTCCACTGTGTTTTTAAGAGGAAAAAATGTAGGATTTACCAGGCCAGTGAGAATAACCACCCAGTATTTATGAAAGAAAAAGAAATAAATAAAAAATTAAGAGCACAAGAAAAAAACCCTACAAACAGGGAACAAACAACATCACCATTTGCAAAGAAGGGCTTTACGAATTTAGGAGTTTTTCCAAGAATGACAGAGAGCTCCACTGTGTTTATAGTGTAACAGCTCAGGATGTAATGAAATTACACTGCAGAGTACTTTAACAGTGTCATCTCATTAGACCTACAGTTGGAACAAGAGAGCCACATAAAACAGGCAGCTGCAAATGACTCCATTCTCATCTATTCTCATTTGCTATTAAAAATACCTTTCGGCGGCTTTTTTCCTCCCTGACATCCCTACACAAAGTACCCTGCAAAGTATGATACATGCACCTATTTAAATTAACAAAGGAATGACTTATTTTAATCTCACTGTGCTTTGGAGTGCTTTGGCCATTTGGATGAGCAATATATCATTACATACAACCTTCCAGCGCTGCAGGCAAGAAACTCGGAGCGTGCAGCATTTGGTGGGAGCCAAACAATTTCTCTAGCACACAACTGTGTCAAATGCATGCATGTATTCATTATTGAGAATGCGAGGAAATAGCTTTGATGTAGTGGAAAAAAGAAGATGATAAAAGCACCTCTGCAATGTGTGTGCCATTATCAATGGTGGCAGATAGACACAACTGCAGAGCCTCCTATGTGATTAGTAAATATACATATAATTGCTGTGGCCAATTATCAGAAAAATGAGATCGGTAATTACAAGACAGAAAATTAACTAGAACTCTTATTAAGGCTTTGTTTCCAATTCAAACAATTGGAAACTGCTGGAAAATACAATTAAATCAAAAGTAACTGAAGAGTAAAAGGAGAAGCCAAAATTGCTTTACAATTTTCAAAGACTTCTATTAAATACAAGGAGTGTTTGATATAACATGCTCAAATTCTCTTTGAACTTAGACCGGGTGAGGGAGAGGTTATTGTTTCTAAACTTATAAATGACATCAATATAGGAAGGTTTCCACTGGAGAGTGGAAGGAACATAAGGAAATAAGCAGTGCAATTAAACTTTCTCCACTTCAAAGAACGGCGCATGAAAATTATTCATCTTAATACAGAAAATGCAGAGCAAAATGTCAGGCTTGCTCATACAGCGTGGAGCCCAGCAGGTTTTGCCTCTCCCTGTCATTTTCTCTCGTGCAGCAGAGCCTTCCTGGGCTTCCACCTGAAGTGCCAAACGCTGCTCTCCCAGGTGGGACAGACTCAAAGCAGAACAGGTATGAAATACTCTGGGCGCATATTACAGATCATTTTGAAAACTACGGGGCAAAGCAATCGGAGCCCATTCCCCAAGGAACTGGCTCTGCCCAGCAATCTACCCCGGCTATTTACAGTAAAATGCAAGCGAGGAGCTTCTTACAAACATCCCTCTAATGGGGCTGCCAGCTCGGATCAGTCCCTGCTGGGGAACAGGACAGGAATACGGCACTTCACACTAATTTGGTAGGTGATAATTTCTGCAATCACAAAGAGATGACGGACCCATAATAGAGTGAAACTCCATTACGAGAGGGGAGGAGAAGCTGATGAACTGCTCTGAAGCCACCAGCGTTTCACTTTGGCTATCCCAAGCTAAGGTGGCATCAGGGTTCACCCAGGCAAGGGAAGAAATTGCTCCATCAGTATTAACACCTTGACCACGCAGCTCCTGTACTGCAGCACAGCCAGAAGACAAGGTGCTCCTGCACAAGCATGCAAGAAAATTTCACCTGGATGAACGTAAATGTAAAATGCTATTTTTTTTGGCACATCTTTCTGTACAATGCAGGTATTTCAACCCCATCCAGGCCTACTCTCTTCTGCGGTAGACCGGTCAGTCATGGCCATGCCTTGGTTGGTTTGCTCTCAGGAGCTCAGGAAGAGACTGGGCGGGTGGGTGGGGTGGAGATGAACACAAACTGGATCTCAGTATGAAAACTAGATGCTTTAATACAGTCTTCCCATGGATTTTAGACTGGGCGCCCACAAATTTATTGGCTATTTGCCTGACAAATTGAAAGCCTTTTGGGAGAGTGCATCAATCTCAAGGAAATACTTGCTGGCAAGTGTGTTTGAGGGCAAAAAGATCAGTGCAGATAAAAACTTTAATCTCACTCCTGTACATAAGAGCCAACTGTTACTTTACAGCATAGGTAAGAGGGGAGAAGGAGGCAGGTTTTGGTTTTAGCTGAACCAGGAAAGTACGGACCCTCAACTACTTCCAAAGGTAAATATTGAAAAGCTGCCTTGAATGCTGCATTTTACCTTAGTTAGAAAGAGAAAACATCCATTCAGTATCTGCCCAGGGAAAACAATGACCAAAATATTTCAATTTCTGATGTTGGTCTATGCAAGACTATTTGAGTAGTAGAAGGGTGAGAGTATTTTGTAGTTAGAGCTGTTTCTAATGAGAGAAAGCGTTGATATTGCTACCTCTGTAACCTGAGCAATCACAATGTTGTTGTATCAGGTATAAAGCAAAAATTTCCCAAACTACACAAAGTAAATACATCCTGTACTGTATCCTGAAGTTCCCCGACTTTGGCTGATACTCAAAGAGATGGGAATATGAGGAAATAAAGCAAAGCTACACGTCTCTACCAAGTTTACGCTGCCTGTGTGATGCAATGCAGTCACATTTGATGTAACCATAGGGAACGGCCTAGCTGTACTCCGATGGCCTGCCTTATTTTACCCACCTGCACAATGAAATCATACTATAGAGGCAAAAAAAGTAGAAAACCAACTCCAACCACTCCTTAAAGGAGTGAGGAATAGGTATACTCATTTTAAACTGGGAAATGATTCTTTCATTTTCATTAAATACTGTATCTTTTAACCAATATCATGAAGACCTATATATTGGGATGCTGCTAAAATGGCAGTGAAGACACAAACGGTTGTAAGGGTCAATGTACCATTGGCCTCTTACATCCCCAGGGAGCTTATTCCCAAGACTGGCTCTTTCCCTAAGCATCCAAGTAACATTTCCGTAACTGGGATCTGCTGCAGGAGAAGACAAGATCAGCCTCTGATTTCTCAAAACCAGCTGAACTCTGCACACACAGTGAGAACGGGGAAGGGCAATAGGAAAAAAGTTTGAGTGATGCCTTTGCCTCGTGAATAATGAACAGTTCAAGAAGGTCAACCCATTACAACTGAAACCGTTTAATTATTAATTATGCACAATCTATGAGCAAAAGGACAAGTTCAGAATGTTTAATGTGTGGTAACTCCGACCGGACCCTCTCTTGGCGTTCTGTTATTAGCATTTGTCAGCAAGGTGCTCAGGCATAAAGAAAAAAGCACAGCAGCAGAAAATCTGAGCTAGCAAGAGGAGGGAGGGCTTTAAACTTCAAACACTGCTCCTAATATTTAATTTATAGAGTGCCAAGGCTCTGGTATAAACCTTATTGACTTCCATGGAGTTAGGGGAAGTCACATTATCTAAACGAAGACCTGAGAACGAGAATACTGAGACAATCCCTCCAAAAGCCCTCTCTTTTGAAGGGAGTGATAAAATTACTACCTGTATCTTCTTTTTTTTTTTCACAGGTCTGAACAAAGGAAGAGTGAACCACCTAATAGCATGTCCAGAAGTCAACCAATCCTTTGCAACTTACGCAATAAGAGCTTGAATTACAGGTCCGAGCATTATCCTCACCTACTTCTCAAACCTATTATTCGAAATGTCTCCTGATCTGTTTGCTCTCACTAAGCAGAGCAGTAGCAGAGATGCTACTGAGGCTCAGGAAATAATGTCCAGCAAACCCACAAATAAATATGGATAAGGCACCTTTCCCCTCTTTTCTGTCCAGCTTGGAGGTTTACCTGGACAAACTCAAGAAGCAAATTCAACAGATACAGCTCTGAGTTGCTCATTTTCTTTGGAAACACTCTTACGTCAATGAAATTTGGGAGCAGTTCTTGACTGGCAATATACACCAAAAGCATCCCATGCTTTACACACCTTCAGAGGTCTTACCTCAACAGACAATTTCTTGAGAGTGAAATATTTTCTCAAAGCAACTGAAAGTCTGAGATTTATCACATCCTTTCTGAAGAAAGAGAAAGCCCACAATCTCCCTGTAACAGGAAAATCAGCAAATACAGCTTTCTACCTAAAACCTTCAAGAAGGCGATGGCAAAGCCCCCAGCTATGTGTTAAGATCAAACCTGTGTCCCTCCTACCTCCTCCTTCGGGGGCCAGCCC